ATGCGCTCGCAGCCGTTTTGCTAGCTCCACATATACCAAATTTGGTGTTACGTGACGTCAATAGATGAAAGTATATGACTGGTGCAAACATGATAATCCTGACAAGCGTGTCATGCAAAAACATGACAACATACCACACTCATAGCATACTCCGGTCATTTCAGTAGCTCTACATATACAAAATCTGGTATAACGTGACGTGAATAGATCTATGACGAAGGCAAACCACACATCTAAACATGATAACCACGACACATAAGTCATGTACGGCATCATTTATCCTCATCATTTACATATCATCGATTCCCACTGTACGTGGAATCTGCCAATTTTTTTTTTTGCCACCACAACGCAGTTTTTGCAAATCGTACTCCTACAAAACTCAAATTATGCAATTCACACACAAACTTTGCATGATTCTTGATCACTATTCTTTAACTCACTGCATTTGTTTTACTTAATTTTGACAAGGTATGACAAGCATTTGACAAGGTATGCTATAAACTATTTTGTTACAAACTATACCAGCTTAACAGTGACTGTTACCCTGTTTTCTTGGCTAAAATTCTTTCTTACTAACCGCTCCCAATTGTGTTTTTACTAGCAGTAGTGTAGCCAGAAATTTTTTTCAGGGAGGGTTCAACCGTACTTTATGTAGGTTTGTGCATGCACGTTTGTAGGTGTGCGTGCAAGCAAAATTGAAAATTTTCGTGTAGTTCGAACCCCCCTGGCTGTGCCCATGTCTCTTAGTAACTTTAACTTGAAGCACCCGGCTGTGAAATCTGGCATTCCACAAAGCATGGTTACTGTGTGCTTCAATCTTTATTTGCATAAATGACTTACCCTCATGTGTTTCCTCATACATCAACTAATTTGCCAGAGACTGTGTTGATATGAAGACAGTAGACACACGAGCGCAGAGCGATTCTATTTACGGCCAATACAGCTGCTGTCCAAGCAGCGACATGAGACGTCGTCATCTCGTTCGAGCGAGCTTTCTCATGCTGCTTGCCCCAACAGTATGAGGGGTGCATACATTCTTTGCATTTTCTCCTTAACTCTTTTTGCCTGTGACGTTTGAAGAAGCTAATATGAACTGCTTCAAGAATGACTAAACCAGTTGACACACTTTTCGTCTACTTTGACTTACTTCGCTATGTTTGTTTCATATTGTACACATAACCTACAATAAGAAAGTGAACATTTATGCTCCAAACACAAATACAGAACTGGCCCAAGCATGGAAGCTGGTAATGAATCAACTACGAGTCAGGCTCGTCTGCAATAACAGGCACTTGGAACATCTTGCTGGGATGAGCTAGTTCAGAATAGAGCTACAACCTAGTTTTATTTTGACGAGGCTGCACACCGTGCCCCTGTACAAAATAAAGGACTAAGCAGAAGGGTGCGCCCTTACTTACCAGATGGTCCTAGTGGTATTAGTGCTTTATTGCCCCTAAAAGTACACCTAAAGAAACACTACGACCCGCCACGGTGACCTGATTCCTAAGGTACTTGGCTGCTGACCTGCAGGTCATGGGATCGAATCCCGGCCGCGGTGGCTACATTTTCTATGGAGGCGAAAATGCTTGAGGTCCGCATGCTTAGATTTAGGTGCGCGTGAAAGAACCCCAGGCGGTTGAAATTTACGAAGGCCTCCACTGTAGCATCTCTCATAATCATGTGGTGGTTTTGAGACATTAAACCCCAACGGTTATTACTATTACACTCAAACCTCATTATAATGAAGTTGCATCTAACGGGAAAATAGGTTCCGGTATATCCGAAAATTCCTTATAAATGTACATTTTTAGCACTGTGTCTATTGCAAAAGTACTCTTCATTTACTGCGTTATAACTGAGTGTATGAAACACTCACCCCAAACAATCTTTATGCCACTAATTGTTTCGACTATGTCCCCTTGTAACTGCCCACCTGCTTGGACCTAAAGGTCTGCAGTATGTAATAAATAAATAAATAAAACTGATATTTTCTTATATCTGAATTTGTTTTATCGAGGTTTGAGTGTATTAAAGAAACACTACGGCGGTTGTTTTCGTTATTTGATGCTTTATGTGAAAAACCGCACGGATCGTCTCTTCGCAACTTGCACGATTGTCAGCATGCACACCGAATCACTGCTCTTCTCCTTGTCTTGATACGACAGTAGTTTGTCGTATCATGACGTGACCTTCTAGATCAGAAGGTCTCTATCTCACCTCAGCCAGCGAGTCACAGTGAAGAAAGTTTACTCCGGCAAGTGCTAGGACAGTGAGGAAGGTAGAAGAGGGGAGGAAGGAATTGTTAGCACAAAACGTCATCTAAAGTTTCGAACTAGGAGAAGGCCTGTCCAATATCTCGTACTATATGGGTAATTTCTGAAGGAGATTTTGCACCAGGTGTTCAATAACATACCTATACCGATCTCTCAAACGACTACAATATTGATACCGATTCTGATTTTTGTTTCACGGTTCTGTATCGACACATGATGAGCTCAAAGGGCGCCTCACGAAAAAGCATTTTGTACCAGTCATGCCTACGTAGCTCGGCAACATATACATTCAAAAATTTTAAATATATATATGAGACATAGGCTCATGTGCGTGCTGTTGTTTGACAGCGAGCTGCGCGTTTGAGATCCCCGGTCTTTAAATTGCTCACACACTGGAGGTTCCACGTCCTGGCCGTTCTTGCAGAGTTTTAACACGCGCACTTGTGGGCGAGCAGCGATTGCAATGCCTAGGAAGCTTTCGGGCGTCACTGTGGTACAATTTTAGATCTTGAGGGGCCTAAGGGCCCTCTTTCCTGATTTCAAGAACTTCCCAAATCAACAAAATATTTTGACAGTAATCATCACTTTGTTATGGAATCGGTTGTCAGGGTATCACACTGGGGTGATTGCAATGACAATGTGAGTGGCAAATACCTCACCTGAACGATTCGCTAAAGAAAACTTAAGTCTACACGCACCCACTAATGTACTAACTGGTTCATATTTAAGAATAATTTGAGGATGTAGTTATTCAAACCGAGAGAACCTATAAAGTCTTGTTGAAATATTCACTCCATGAGAAACAATGAAGTCAAGCTGTATCTGGTGTTTAAATCGAAATGATTTTGAAGTTGAATACTAAATCATCTTGTGTGTGGTTCAGATAATATCCCAAATGTTTTTCTTCGCCATTATGCCGAAAGTATTACTACCTTCATCGTTGTGCTCTTTTGTTGTTCACTGTTGAGTGCAAAATTATCCTGTGATTGGAAGAGGGCTCGTGTTGCTCCCGTCTATAAGAAAGGCAATCATTCACTTGTAGAAAATTACCATCCCATCTCGTTAACTTCACTAGTTTGTAGAATGCTCGAACATGTAATATCTAAGCGCATCGTGAAATTTCTCGAGCAAAACTCTGTGCTGACTAAATTTCAGCATGCACGTTAGTGAACCCCAGGTGGTCGAAATTTCCGGAGCCCTCCACCTGTGGCGTCTCTCATAATCATATGGTGGTTTTGGGACGTTAAACCCCACATATCAATCATTAAATTTCAGCATGTTATTTGTGGTAACTCAGTTAGTCTTAATGGTTCATTCATTTGCAGAAACTCTGGATAAAAATGGTCAAATGGACGTCATATTTCTTGACTTAAGCAAAGCATTCGACAAAGTTGTTCATCACAAACTAATTACAAAACTTAAGGAAATCAATCTACCCTACATATTTATTACCTGGATACAATACTACTTATCAGAAAATTCAGTTTGTTTCGATAGATTCTAGCAATTCGAGCTTTCTTCCTGTTACATCAGGCGTGCCGCAGGGTAGTGTTCTGGGGCCGCTGTTGTTTTTAATTTATGTGAACATTGTAAACACAGTACTACCAGGAACTCAAATTAGATTATTCGCAGATGATTGTGAGCTTTTAAATGAAATTACTTGTTCTAATGATTAAGAGAACTTGAACATATGTCTTAATAAGATACTAGTCTGGTGTAATGACAATGGTATGGCACTGAACGCACAAAAAACTGTTTATCTCTGAATGACTCGTTCCAAAATACCCTTTCATTTTACTTATAACCTTGGCTCATTCTCACTACAACAGGCAAAACACTACAAATATATAGGCGTGACAATAACGACTTGTCATGGAGCACTCACATAGACAACATATGTTCTTCTGCATTTCGTAAGCTGAGTTTTCGAAAACATAATCTTATAATTCTCCTTCTAACGTAGAACTACTTAGTTCTTTTATGTACCTAAGACCAAAACTAGAATACTCTTGTGTTGTATGGGACCCTTTTACTAAATCCAAGATTAAAAAACTCGAAGCAGTACAAAGAAAGGCTGTTAGGTTCGCTTATTCTAAGTTCAAACTTACGGACTCGCCGACTGAACTCATGAATGCTAAGAACATTGAAAAACTTTCATTACGACGAAAAAGAAACTGTCTTAACTTTCTATATCTGCTAGTTAGCTCTTGACCCGAGGGCATATGTATCTCCACTGTCCACTCGGCATACACGTCATCATCACCCCTGTTCTTTAACCCCGTATTTCGCCAAAACAAACGCATATAAATTTTCCTTTTTTTTACTGTGTCAGAGTGGAACTGCCTGACTGATCCCAGCAAACTTTCGGTTGTTTAGAGCTGAAATAGGCACAGTGAATTTGTGTGCTGTTGCTATTTCATGTAATATTTTGTCTTGTTACCTTTTATGCGTTCTGTTAGTACGTGTTTTGATTCTATTTCTTGTGATATATTCTTATGTTATCACATGTGTTTTTGTATTTATATCATGCCTCTTGTAGCTGTCCTGCTTGGACTAGTTCTTGGTCTGCAGTATTCAATAAATAAATAAAGTAAATAAATAAATTCATTCTCATACCACAAGATATGTTCTTCACGGATTATGCACATCTACTTGTGGGCAAGGGCTCTTTCACACTGCTTTGAAAGGGCAGCCAAGTGAGTGGAATAACTCGAGTCAAACGACTACCATCAGAAACTCTTTATTTGAAAAACAATTAGTGAATATGTCTAAATCTTTTGTACAAATGCATTGCTTTATGCTTCCCTCTATACATCTTCAGGGGCCCTTATGAAAAATAAATTATAAATGTAGAGACAAATTCGACGCAAATTAAAACCTAGACAGAAGAGCACTGTCAGGCTCTGAAAAATGATAAAAAAGTTGTGACCATAGGCAAAAGATTAAACAATCTCGTTCCAGCATTTCGAACGAGCCTAATCACAGGAGCTTGAGTCATTAGCATCCTCCTCAAGTTTCCTAGAAGTTGAAAAAAAAAATGCCAAAAAAATTAGTAAGCTTTTTAGAAGATTTACAGCATTTTGTGCACGTCATCTGCCTCACAAGTAAAAGACGAGACCACGCCATCATGCTGTTGAAAGGGTACTGATACAAAAATTTTGGTTTGGCATTTTTTGCTGAAGTATGTTGCTGGGAGTCTATTAGTCACAGCATAGCAAATCGTGTGCTGCAGCACACAACAGACAATATTTACAGTCTGTTTATTATTTACCAATCTAACTTTTGACTTGGGAGGAGCTCCAACAACGACAAGTGCAAGCAACGCCATCTAGCTCGTCAAACGGCACGCAGCACTGTGACGCACAGTCTGTGCAAGAGCACAGACTCGGGAACGGCCACCAGATAGTACCCTGCTCGTGTAAGCACCACAAGAACACAATGGGGACTATCGTAGAGTTTCCTAAATATACACTAGAGAGAACTTTGGCGCTAGTGTCATTGGGAGCTGCGATGCGTGGCGCTTCAAGTGAGCATGAGAATGATGGGTAGTACCCGAATCTTTGTACTTCTGGCTCCGTTTGTGTTCGTGTGGCTTAGAGCTGTTTTCTCACGAAACAGAAATCAACAACTGTTCAGCGGTTATGCGTCCCCTCCTTTTATTTTTTTTAGGCTTGCCTTTCTAAATCGGGTCACGAAGTTCAAAAAGGTTCAATTTTTTCCCTTCGAAACGAAACCGAAACACAGCAATAAATTAAGCCACAAGTGCGATTCACCGCTTGCAAGTACGAAGACAAGGCAAATTCGCATACTACCCAGCATTCCCACGGTTTCTGAACTATTGCAGCGCCAGAGTCTCTTCTAGTTAATTTTAGGAAACTCTAAGGCTACTATGGTGTCATTATCCTAGCCGCAACACCTCTGAGTTCAGCCACAGTGGGGACGTCTCGGAAGTTGTGGGTCACGCGGGATGATGCCAATGCTGCGAAATGTCGCATTTAATGCTGGATTCCACATGCGAGCTTCAATATCCACGTTGATTATCTTCCAAACTGTACTTGCTATTGACATTTTGCCGATAATGTACGCATGGTCATGCGAATCGATCTTGCAGGCTATCTTAGCTGCAAAACTTTGTGCCAGTACCCCTTTAAGCTAATGAATGATAGGTCCTACACAAGATGGCTTCTGCTACAGTGTCTCAATCAGGTATGACTACTGTATACATGATAACAAGTTCCACAAAACACTGCTGCTATTCACAAGATGGCACTTACATACAACACAAGCGTACTACACATAGTATACCAATCAAGAATTATGCCCCAAGGGCAATACTTTGTTGCAACAAATAAAAAAAAAAATTTCTCCTGAAAAGTCACATTTTTTCTTACATAAATATATTTTTCTGTACGGTACACATAAACAATATACTAGCCATGATCAGGGACTGTCAAATAAGTTTATAAAAGCGGTACTGACACAAAAAGCTTGGCCTCGCGTTTTTCAGCTGCAATGCCTTGCTGTAGGGCTATTAGTCATGACAAGACGCATTGTTTTCTACAGCACGTGATAGATAATTAATTACAGGCCCCTCATTATCGGTCAGTTTCAGTTTCGGCTTGAGAGAGTTCCAAAATATGGGTGCAACTTTCGCTACCTAGCGTGTGAAACTCTTGACCACGTCAGCACACAGAACTGTGACGCACTTTTGCACGATCCGCGTCAAGAATTATTTTCGGATAGGAAACGGAACTGGAATGTCGCCAAACACAAAACTTTCTAAGCGTGCGCCACGGCCACGCACTCGCAACCAGCCGCCGAGAAATATAGACTTTGGGAACTAACGCGGCGAAAAAAAAATGGTGTCCTATGACGTCATCATAACTTGTTTTGTTTACCGCAGCATGGTGACATAGGGGAAGTAGGGTGTCACCTTGGCGTCACCTCCGAGGGTGTCTATAGCGCTATAGAGTCGGTCGCTCATGCAAACTTCAAAATTAATTTAAAATACCATCCAAGCTATATTCGCTGTTGATATCTTGCAGATGATATACGAATGTTCACGAGAATTAAGCCCGCAGGCTATCTCGGCATTGAAATTTTGTGTCAGTACCCCTTTAACACTGCAAGCTTTAGTTGTTTAATACAGGAATAAAGAAAAGTTTGGAAGCTATAAATTCAACTTTGAACTTATTTGTTGAGGCCCATTGTGTCACAAGTTGGATGTGATTTCCAGCTGGCTCTGTGTAATTCCCAGCAGCTGAATTTAGGAATCAGGCTGGAAGGCAAACTTTCAGCAGTAAATTCCTATCCTATTCTTATGTGGGGAGTCATCGAAAATAATCACTGCTAGCACTCTGAAAATAAAAAGTACAGTAAAATACCTAGCAAGTATGCTCTCTTAACTAGTAGAAATTAATAGTAAAGTGACTGAAGGGATGGAAGTGGAGAGGTCTTTCTTGGAACAGCACGAAAAATCACACTGGCGTGAGCAAAGTGCATATGGACTTCCTCAGAAGTCTTCTTGTTCCTGTTCATGGCATGGTGCACAACGATGATGGCTCACAAACAAGCAAACAATAACAATGGCAATGCATAACGGAAGGAAATACACGTGGCAACGCAGAATAGAAGCACGGTATGATAATCCAACGACATCCAACGATAAGCGAATACAATTACTCTAGCTAGCAAACACAGGTATTGTCATGGGCACCATCTTAGAAGACAAATCTCGAAGGCCATACTTTCCTATTGTGAGACCCTGAAAATCATCACGGCTGTCTCGTGCTAAGTTTGGGGTGCAATCATTATGGAGAGAAAGAAATCAAATTTTTTCAACAAGTTTCAGGCGTAGGTGTTTAGAGATCAGCCTAGTGAACGGCATTGAATAGGGATTCAGTCATGCTAGTGTCACTGGACGTGGTACATGACCTGTGCGAATGAGGAGTGGTGAGTGGGAAGTACAGAACACTGCAGAAGTTTGAAATTAGCAGGAAAATTGGACGGGGCACTCGATGATTTCACTGTACTTTCCATTGAGTTCTCAAGCTTACATTACCAAAAGTAAAAAAAGGACAAAGTGAGCCAAAAAATGCGCCAAACGTTAAACTGCCATGCACATGCGACAGGAATACCTACCATGGCTTCCCATAGCTTATTCGATAATGCTTCGATCATCCGAGACTGACTTGCACACAACAGCAAGCCAGTCATAAGACAATATTTGTGATCATGTGTTATTCCCAAGTGCTAGTGAACGCTTGCAAATATGTTATTTGACAAATTTATACATACACATTTTGCACATATTTGCACTTTGCATGTATGCTTTGAGATTTGCAGTCACTGGATCCCTTGAAATAATCTGCAAATAAATCAGATCAGTCATGCAAATCTTCCTCTACACTGCTGATTTACAAGCTTAGTACAGCATTTTATGAATCACTTTCATTAGATTATCAGCCTGACTGTGCCCCCTGAAGGGTCAAAGCCTTCGTCATGTTCCGCCAATCGAACCAGCCTTGTGTTAGCTAACAGCTACATTATACCCGCAGACTTCCTAATCTCGTCTGTCCACCTCACTTTCTGTCTACCCTCGCATGTTTGCCTTCTCTCTAAATAAAGACTGTTGCTTAATTACGAGCAGTTACCTTGCTTATGTTCTATGTGGCCTGCTCATCACCATTGCTTCTAGGTTTCTACAATGATGTCCTCCAGACTCGTTATTTCCCTGACCCACTCTGCTCTCTTCTCGTATTTTAAGGTATTACAGTCAAACCCATTTATAGAAGCCACTGATATAAGAGACACCAGAGTGCCTAAAGTAAAATATGAGTTAATAAGAAAATCGTACATAGTGCCCTCCCTATCACCTCTGTTAAACCTCTGTTACCTCTGTTATACAAGACATCTTGTATAACAGATGAGAATCGCTGCCTGGAGCATGCCACTTACGAAGGGGTTCCACTGTATAACAAAGTTGCATGTTACAAGAAAATGAGTGCATTATACCTGCAAATTCATTATAAAGATTATTCTTAACACTGTATTCATTGCAAGACTTCTTTTCATTTACTTCGTTATAACCAATATTTCATTATATTCGTGTTCGTTACATTGAGTTTTCAGTGTACTCCGTCACTCCTCTGTCTTCTTTTTTTTCCTCCCTCCATGAATAGTCAACCAAAATCACCTTTTGTCTGCCATTATCCTTGAAGGACATTTCTTGAGCCAGGCAGCAGCAGCCTTTTGAATTGAACAGGATGTCGCGTTCTTGTATAAATCGTTGCTCCTAATGGCCTCTGGAATCATAAATCATCTGCTCAGAAATGTAGAATTTATTCAAATAATTACACCACTTTCTTATGAGAGAATGCTATGTCTTTAAACAGCATTTGAAAACACCACATGAATAACATGGCAGTAGTACATACAAAACAATCTAGTCAAAACCACACATTAGGTCTAAACACTAGTGCTAAAGAACTGCTACGCAGTTCTGCATTGCCTACAAAACTGGAACCCCCAAGTGGCTTAGAGATGAGACCAATAAACCATCGACTCCAACAAATAAAAGCAGTTCTATCAAATATACCATTGTGATAACAATCGTGGACCTCAAGCATCACATGTTCTACACACAAGTAAAAGCTCGCGGGTGCTGACAACTACATTCAAACCTTGTTATAACGAAGTTGAAGGGGAGCCATCATTTTTTCGTTATATCCATTATTTTGTTGTATCAATTATAACAGTTTGTGGCAATATATTGTCACGGGGTCGTGACGTGGCCGAAGACAGGAGACTTCGTGTTGGGATTTAACTGTTTATTTGGTCGAACCTGTGCCCGGTAAACGGAAAGTCCAATTACAGCAGCAGTCTTGCACATATAGCAGTCTCGAACTGATAGCGGCGAACGGAGCGTCGGCCTTGGATCAACAACTCACAAGCGGCGAAGCGCATCGCCATTTATACTCTTGCCGTCGAATGTTGTAGCTGGTGGTGGCGTAGGTTCCAGAATAGTCGGTACAGTTCGCAGGGTAGGCTTGATCTTATCGAAATGATCTACTACCATCCGGAAGCTTCTCGAAAAATGCAGGCGCGGTTTGCGCTGAGAATTGTGTAGTGTTTTCGGACGATAACAAAACTTGGGAAATGGAACGTGGCAATATGCTCAGATGGGCGCACACCTATAAGCATGAAAAGAAGGAAACCGCCTCGCGGCCCGATGTATGGCTACGCGACCACGTGTGCGACGGAAAATAAACACAGTCGAACCTCACTAATTCGAACACACTTAACATACCGCACTCCGAAAATGCTCTCAGCACCATGCTCAATCCTGTGGCGGCACCTCTCAACGCTATGCGCGAAGAAGGAAAAGAAAAAAAGGAAAGAAAAAACTGTGGCAGATTGTTTGCTCTCCCACAAATGCCTATCTGCGACGCGCTCGTACCACACTTCTTCCTTTTCCGTCTCTGCACGTAGAGACTCTTCTCCTTTCATGGCCATACGTGGAGAGAGGAAAAAAAAAGAAAGCTGTCGCAGAGAGTCCCCCTTTCTCGGTGCAGAGGGTAGCAGCGGAGACACAGTCGTTCCCGTCGTCTTCAAGGCGCGGAGAGGGAAATCGCTTTGCACCGCGGTGTTCCTTCTCAGTCATGCGACCCACTGAGTATTTTCTCAATCCTCTCCACTGGCTGTGTGAGGAGGACGGCTCTCTCGGCTACGCGTGGCGTGGCTGTAAGGTCGGCACGGTAGTTTTGAAAGAGCCGCACCGAATGAGCATCAAACTCCGCAGAAAATGATATATTTAACGCACTATGGTTGTTGTTTTTTTTTTGATAGACTATTTGATAGAGTAATTTAGTTCATTATATCTATTCACCATTCAATTTTGCTTCGTTACAACAAGGTTTAAAATGCATGGAACTCAATGGGGCTTTCAAGGAGAATTTCATTTACTTCCTTCGTTACGTTATAACGAGGTTTGGGTGTAGCACGGCTGAAGAGAAAATGAAACAAGCCATACGTCTACATCGCACAAATGGCACATACGATAGCATCATTCCTCGTCAAAGACCTGTTACCGACTGCTCATCAAGCAGAGAGGAGACGCCCCCCTTGTCTTTCATAGGGAGCATGAAAGGACACCAGTGGAAGGGTGGGGGGCTGCATCGCTTAAAGGTGTGCGCTATTTTGATGGACACCGATTGATGGCTCATGAAGTTGCTCTGCTCTCTACTTTGCTTGTAGAGAACTGGCAGCGTCAAAAGCCCTTTGAACCCTCAAGCAGCTGTGTTTTCTTACAGCAGCGTTTTCTCAAGTTATGCGAGATCGGACCCAAAAAGTTAGCTTCTAGGCTTTGATAAAATTACAATTTGTTGCTATTACATCTACTTATTTGCCTGAAGTGAAACTGACACCTTTTTATTTATTATTTATTTATTAAAAAATACCTGCAGTGCCCGGCATTATTGCAGGGGGGAGATACACAATGCAAAATACCCTTACACAAAAAGAACTATTTAAAACAAGATGGTCACAAAAAACGATCATAAAAAATGCAGCTATGAGAGTAGCAATATGTCCCTGAAAGATGTTTCAGTGCAGCAGTCTGCAACCTCCTGTGGGAGTGGAAAAAAAGAGTTTTGATAAATGTTTGTTGAGCAAAAAACTTCTAATTTAAGGGGGTGGTCGGTTCTCTTAGAGAAAAAATGGGGAGGTGGAAGGTAAGATTCTTCATCTATTTTGATCAAACCATGAAATACTTTGAATAGCATTTCTAATCTCAAGTGTTTCCTACGTAACACCAACAAATCCCACCCTAACCTATAAATAAAAACAGTGACACTGACACTAAAGTTGTAGTTGCTAGTCACAAAACCAGCTGTGCGGTTTTGAACAATCTCAAGCATATTAGACAAAGTTCTCGTTTGTGGGTCCGACGCAACAGAGGCGTACTCTAAGAGAGGCCGAAGATTCGAAAAGTACAGTAGTTCTCTGATTTTGGGAGGAGCTAACCGAAAGTTTCCTTTAACAAAGTTTAACATTCTGCAGGATCTCGCTGTGACATATTCAGCATGCTTATATTTGATGAAAAGTAAACAACTAGGTATTTATACTCAGTTACTTGCATCAGCCGGATTGTTTCTAATGTAAAATGAAACAGGTATGGGTCGCATTTATGAGTGAATAATATGCACCGGCACTTCTTAGGGTTCAAAGGCATACGCCACTTATCACACCAGCGCATAATACTATATAAATCGCATTGCAAGTGTTGATGGTCAGAGGTAGGTCTAATACAGTGGCAAATTACACAATCATCTACATACAGACATACTTTGCATGACACATTCTGAGCAATATGGTTGATGTACACCAGGAACAGCGAAGGTTCTAATATACCATATTTGTTTAAAATAGCCCGAAACAATTGATAACATTGTAAAAAAAAAGCATCCAAGTTTTTCTGGAAGGTAATGTCTTGCAAACGCTCATGTCTTTTCAAACAACATCCTAATAATATCAATAGTAATCTGCCTTATTGAATAGTAATTTCTATCTTCCTTGTTTTTTTTTCTATTCTTTAAAACTGCCTTTGAAGCAGTAGTTATTCATCCTAAAAATGACACACATTTGTGCATTTCTATTTTACTATAACTAGGTTTTACGAACTAAAATTGTTATGGATGCTACCAGTTAGTAATAAAGTAAGGCTCAAAAGCTGCCTTTGCAATGCAATTGCATAAAAAACTGAAATTCTACCTGTGGTGTTTCTGACAGATTTCACAGCCAGCTTAGCCAAAACTTCTTTACTGCTGTCCAGAGTTGGCAGTGCAGGCCTTTGGCGATTTGTTTTCTTATTTGCATAGCACAAAGAATAGTGCCTCTTTTATGTGTTCAAGTTACAAAATATTTTTTCATAAATCGGGTTATTTTGCATACTTAAGTGGACCAGCAGATGGGTCACACGTTTCACAGTGAAAGCTGTTACAAGATCACAACAAGGGCTGATTTCGATGCTGCAGTTGTCTGCCACCATCGGTGTCCGTGATCGCTGTTGCGCAAAATAAAAATAAATGGACACAAAATACCCAGGATAGAATGGGATTCGAACTTGCGTTCTCGAAGTGGCAGCCCAGTATTCTACCAGAGCCAACCCTGCGCTTGAAGCTCTGCGGTAAACTGAGCCATGCAGGCTTCATGCTCGGTTAACAAATCCTGCTCAGCTCATAGACAAAACCATAGGACAAATTTTCATAGGTCAATTTTTCCGGTAAAAAGTTTAGGTTCACCTTTCATTTCTGGATTTTGTGTAGCTCTATTATTATATCTGCATTAGTTTCATTGTTCTGAAAACTTGCCTACAGAGTCGGTGCACATTTGGTTTGTCGAAGTGTTAACGAGTTTGACAAATACTGCAGCCAAATGATCGCAATCAATGCAAATGAGCACAATCACCCAAAGAAGCCATTAGCATTGCCTTGCTGTAACAATCGTCAGCACATGCAAATTGGCTAATTATGTAACCTCTTTATCCTGACTGTCTGTAGGTATGCATACCTTTGTTCTGCATAGTGAAAAAACAATGAGTGACAGCAAATTCACACGTCAGATCTGAGTGTACTTTGTGGACATGCATATATTGATAGAACACACTGAAACTGAGCATAGTTGGTGCAAGTTTCTTTCGCTTTGTTGGAGCACTAAATTTCATCTCAAATGATACCGTATAGGTAGGAAATGATTCTGTAAGACATCCTGAAATGTTTTGATTCGTTCAGGGTCAAATATGATACGAGACGGCACTAACATGTCACAAATAGTTGGTGTCATATTTTCGGCACTCTATCTGTTGGTAAAGCGTAAGAATATTTTGACCCATTCTAGCAGGGCAAGCGAGTGCTGGCACTATTTGAGGATACTACGATTTTTCTTTTTTGGATAGTAAAATTTAAGCTTGTTTTGCCCTTGCGGTTTGCTTATGCTGTCGCAGCGACTGCCACCCGTACATGCGATCGTGCATGCGCAGTTGCGATTTCTTGGCGATGAGAGCATTTGTTTGTTGCTCACAATCTGTTGCCCATCTTTTGCTTAACATCTAATTACGCTTCATTACTCGATCGTTTATGGTCCCCCAGGTGTGGACAAAATTAGAACAGTTTACAGGAATGTGCTGATATACAAAAAGCAATGCTCATGTTTACATGCCAGCACGCTTTTTCTTTTTAGAGTCATGATATTTGAATGGACTGTGGAGGCAGTATAATGAAGACAGCTAGTTTTTTCTGTCAACGAGGCACCAAGCGCGCTCGGGCTTCAGCCCATGATCGGCAAAAGAGCCATTTTTGTGTTTCTTCTTAAAAATAATTTTGTCTACCAGTTGTACGGTTTTGTGAAATAGTGGCAATCGTTCACAAAGCTAAACAGTGAAATGAACTGTTATAGAAACAATAGGCAACTGTAACAACGAGGTTCCATTTTGTTTTGCTCTTAAGAGAGGATTAACTATGTCGTATATTATATCATTGCACTAGTTGTGAGACATGATTCCTGACCACGAAAAAAATTGTCTACTTGAGGTAGTTATTCCAAACATGAAGTGACAGAATTCCTTTTTTTTTTTCACCATTCGGTTTTTCATCATTTTCACATGAAATTGAGTGAATGTTAGGGTTCCAGAAGGCGAGTGTGCAGCACAAGTTAAATGTGTCATGCCGGTTACCCCGCACCTAAGTGAGGGGTTTCTCGTCAGTGTTAATACAGTCACATCAACTACATCGATCAGCGCGTTCAGTCGAGCTACGAGGCTAATTGTTTTGACCAAACCCATCATATAATAAAATGAAGCGAAGAGAACACAGCTACAGGAGTGATGCTTAGATGTTTTTCTAAAGATCAAGACCGTACCCTATCGTTTATGTTTGGTCGTCAATCTAACCATATCCGATTATCATATGGGTGGGTGGAACACTGGGTATTTATAGTACATATATTGTGGCACTGGCCGATATAGAACTTGTCACGTAACGCAAACGATGTATCATGAAGCAACCGCAAAGGCTGCCCATTTGGTGATGTGTGCCGCATACTTCTTCAGGCGTCAGTTTCCCTCCTTTCTTTTTTTCTATAGTTCTTGGGACAACCAAAAATGGCACAGTGGCTTCCCATTGACTTTTTGCTGGCTGACATTGTGAGAAAACAGAAGAAAAACTGCAATTCGTCCTAAAACGTGCTAAAATTGCTCGAAAATGCCCCTCATTCAAGCATCAACCTGTACACTGCGCATCATCGGCACGCTCCAGAAGGGAGGAAAGTGCTGCTTGCCAGTCTGCTCCTTTTCGCTCGATAGAACGGTGGAACATGAAATTTTGTGAGCCGTCTGGTTTTAATGTATTCTTTTTTTATTTTGACTTTCCAGTAAATCCTCATAGGTGGTCTCCAGGAAATTGTTGTTTAGCGAATTCAGCGGGATTCTACTGAAAATGCAAACTAGCGAAATTTGGTTCAATGTTCTTTTTTTTCCATGCCACTGAATGATTGGTGCACTGTTTGCATTGTACTACAGATTGTCTACTGATGAATAACGCATTAAAACTAAGCTTCAACAGCATATGACAGCTCAGGCACTTAAAGTGCTCTGCACTTTGACAAAGCTTCGTTCGATGCAGTGATGAATGTAGGCTCACGTTCAACAACGTCGTAAAGGACCATGTCCTTGAGCCTTTTCTTGTGGCATTGCCCGAGCACGCTGAAGTTCTCTCCCATGGCTTTGGTGAGCAAGCAGCTAAGGACACCGGCAGTGAAAATTCGCAAATCGGGGCCTCCGATGAGGGAGAGTCGGTGAACCTGAAAAAAGCGTACATAAAAATAAAAGGAAAACATGTAATCAGACACTCCTTGCTGATTAACTCTGAATAACCAAGTCGCCAAGCCCATAAATCCTTTCTCTGCCACTGACGTAATGGCACACTCTCACGTTCCGCCGCAACGGTACGCTATTACGTGTTCCCAAGTCTGCGCTGAAGTGCAATACTAGCACATTTCGCGTGATTCTACTAGTCGCGCTATCCCTCAACTCTATCTAGAAGCACATATTATCAGTTCTCATTGTGTTTCATACATGTAGCGAAAAGTATGGAGTGACCGTGGCCACCTTTTTGTGGTGGGAGTGGACGACCACTCCATGCGCTATACTGTTGCGGGTAAACAAGGGCTGTCCTGTCATCTGCCCCAGGTTTGCAGGCTTGGTTTTCTTTCTTTTTTGTATTTTGTTTCTGCATCTGATGCAGTGCGTAAAGTTTAGGGGCACTCGCTGTTGCTTCTCTGATAAACCAAAACATGACTCGATAACTGTTTTCTCTTGCTCGCCAGATACCAGGTAGTGATCTGGTAAAATATTGCTACGAAGCGCTGTCGGAGATGAAGACCCCAAAGAGAAAGACAACGCTTGCTGATATCCGCGTGGACTTGGCTCTGCCTTGTATATCTGGCGATACGTGTTTAGACACACCTTGTAAATATACTCAACGACACCTTTTATCCCCGTAATATTTTGGTGGAGAGTGCGGGTCCCCCCTTTCACCATCACGACGATTCTCCATAGCGGACACTCCTTGGCTGCCTCTGCTATGTCTGTTCAAGAGAAATACGAGGATGCATCAGAAACATCTCAAACCGTGCCTCAGCCAGCCGGGCATGCCACGCCGCAACAAACCGCCGCTAACCGCACCATTGTTCTGACCCAACCACGCCACACCGGCATCTTTTCCGGCACAAACAACAAGGATGTCAAGGATTGGCTTTAGCTATATGAATGGGTGAGCACACTGTACAACTAGGACACGACCCTCATGCTGACCAATGTTCTATTTTACCTTGAGGGCACGGCCAAAGTTTGGTTTTCCAACAACGAGGAAGAGATCACCAGTTGGGACATATGCAAACGCAAACTCATCGACCTCTTCGGCAATACCATTGGGTGTCGTCGTTCGGTGCAGAAAGAACTCGCGTGCTGACTGGAGTCCTGCACCGAGTCATATGTGACTTACATTCAGGATGTGCTCGCCCTCTGCTGCATGGTTGACGAAAATATGCCGGAATCCTAAAAGGTCGCACACATCTTTGAGAGAATCGCGGATGATGCCTTCACTCTCCTCGTGTTCCGCAACTCGTTGACAGTCGACGTTATTAGCGAATGTTGGCGCTATGAAGAAAGGAAAAGTCTTCGCATTGCTCCTAATTTTTTACGCCTTCCCAACAAAGAAGCAACGTCTACTTGCGAGAATATGCATCCGCCACCTGCTCCTTCATGCAAAGTCATGGCTACGGCGATTCCCACATGATTTCTTTTATACAGACCGTCGTACACCAGGAGCTCGCTAACGTTGGACACCAAACGCTCTGCCCTATGAACAGACCAGACTACCGTCCACCCTGTCCTCCCGATCTGCCCCGAAACTCGTACGCCCGTCCTTGGTATCGGAACCCGGCAGAATGGCGAACTCCTGACGACAGGACCATTTGCTTCTGTTGTGGACGCGTCGGCCACATTTCCCGCCACTGCCGTAGTTCCTGGAACTCGCCACTCTGGTACAACTATTTCAACAACAATCGGCGTTCTCCTGTTAGTTCCGACTGCCCACCTACGAAGACGATGCTGCTACCCATCAACACCTCCCCGACTGCACCGCTCTCTTTCGCCGTCAAGTCTCCTGTCTCGCTCTCAGAGTCTTCCCCCTCCTCCTCCTGCTGCTCCTCGGGAAAACTAACGGGCGCAGCTCCTAGAGGTGAGCCTGCCGTGACGACCCGATCTGAAATTCCTCTGCTTAGACTACCTGGACACAACAACAAAATCGAAGTAGATGTCCACGGCGCACCTGTAATAACACTAGTCGACACCGGCACTCACGTGTCAGTTAGAAACTCGAACCTCCGTGCAAGACTACAGAAGGTTATCACTCCAGCTCCAATCACTGCACTCCGCGTAGCCGATGGTACGACTCATATTGTCAGTAGGATGTGTACTGCTCGGGTCACTGTTGGCGGATGCCATACCTCTGTTTTGTTTTATGTATTGGAGTAATGCCCGCATGAACTGATCTTAGGACTTGATTTCCTATCTTCCCATTCAGCTCTCATTGACTGTGCTCGGGTGTCGTCCAACTTACCTTATCATATACCGTTGAGTCTCGTGATACTGAATTGAGCACACTACATTCTGCCGATTACGTTTGCATCCCCTCTCTATCTGTTATATAATTGCAGTCTCTCCCAATCCACCCGTGCCTGATGGTGACTACGTCATGTCACCCAAACCTGCCATCCTCTGCTCGCAAAACGTCACATTCCCGCACACGGTCATCAGTATAAAGGACAATGCCGCGTGTCTCCCTCTTGTCAATATTCGACTATGCTCGCAAGTTCTGCCACAGGGTACCTCCTTTGCCTCCCTTGTTCAGGCTTGCGACAACCATCTTTCCGCTTTAACAGTGGGTAACCCACCACCCACGAGTCCTGATTTGGGTCAAACTGCTTTTGAAAAGATCACAAAAATGATCACATCAGATCTTTCGGCTGAACATGTGCACACTCTTCGCATGTGCACGCTCTTCGTGTACTTCTTGCTTCATACCGAGACGTATTTGACCTTAATGATCGACCACTTGGCCAGACAACCATTTTGAAGCATCAGATCAACACCTGCGATGCCAACCCGATACACAAGCGACCCTATAGTGTTTCTTCGATTGAGCGTCAAATCATACAAAAAGAAGTCGACAAAATGCTCGCCCGGGACATTATAGAACCTTCTTCAAGCCCTTGGGCTTCCCTTGTCGTGCTCGTCAGAAAGAAAGACAACAGCTGGCACTTTTGTGTCGATTACCAAAACCTGAACAAGGTAACAAAAAAAGATGTGTACCCCCACCACGCATAGATGACGCCCTTGACTGTCTCAGTGATGTGAAATAATTCTCTTCGATAGACCTTCATTCGGGGTACTGGCAGATTGCAGTTGATGACATGGACTATGAAAAGACCGCATTTATTACATCGGACGGCCTTTATCAGTTTAAAGTGATGCCATTCGGGTTACACAACCCCCCAGCCACATTCGAACGAATGGTGGACGCTCTACCAGACGGTTTAAAGTAGTCAATATGCTTATTCTACCTTGATGGCGTCGCTGTATTTCCGCCGACTTTTGCGACACACCTCAAACGCCTCTGGACAATTCTTTCTGTTTTCCGAAAGGCAGGCCTTCAGCTGAACTCGTCGAAGTGTCACTTCAGCCGTCGGCAGCTTACTGTCCTCAGACATCTTGTCGATTATTGAGGTGTTAGTCCCGATCCCGACAAAGTGCACACAGTCAAAGATTTTTCTGTGCTGACCTGTGCGAATGAGGTTCGAAGCTTTGTAGGCCTCTGCTCCTACTTTCGAAGATTTGTGCGCAATTTCGCCAACATTGCATGCCCTCTAACAGACCTACTGAAGAAGTATGTGGCTTTTGTCTGGGGTCATGAACAAGCCACTGCATTTGCTGAACTGACCATGTTCTTCCCATCACTACTAATTGTAGGCCACTTCGATATATCGGCTCCAACAGAAGTGCGAACGGACGCCAGCGGCCATGGCAATGGCGCTGTTTTGGCACAGTAACAGCATGGTAGTGAGTGCATCATTGCATACGCTAGCCGTCTTTTATCACCAGCAAATCGATATTATTACATCACCAAACGCGAATTTCTTGCGCTTGTTTGGGCCATAGGCGAATTTCTTTCATATTTGTATGGACTGTCATTCACTATAGTCATGGACCACCATATCTTATGCTGGCTGTCATCCTTGAAAGACCCTACCGGACTGCTGGGATGGCGGGCGTTGCAGCTACAAGAGTATTCATTTACCATCATCTATAAAACGGGCGAACACGAGGACGCTTATTGTTTGTCTCGTCACCCAGTAGATCCACCAGATCTTCCTGAGAGTGGCGAGTCCATGTGCGTCCTGGCGCTTTCCGCATTGGCAAACATCAGAGAGGAGCACCGACATGATTCTCACTTCAGAGAGATCATCAGCTGATTGCGTGACCCCACAACGCCTCCATCGCATCATATGTTTGTGCTTCATGATGGTGTTCTATACGGTTACAACATGCATCCCGACTTTCTGCTGGCCATACCTACACATATGCGTCAGACTGTTCTCGAGCAGTTGCATGACGTTCTTACGGCTGGTCACCTGGGCGTCTCAAGGACTTACGACAGTGTTCGGTGCCACTTCTTTTGGCCCAATATTTACCGCTCTGTTCGTCGTTACGTAGTTTCATGCAAATCGTGTCAGCAACGCAAAACACCGGCCACCCTTCCAGCAGCACGCCTTCAACCCATAGAGATACAGTCTCAACCATTTTACGGAGTTGGTCTTGACCTCCTCAGCCCTTTTACTCTATCCGTCAGAGGAACAAGCAGATAGCTGTTGCCACCGACAACATGACTCGGTATGCGATCACACGGGCTATCCTCACCAGTTGTGCAATTGACGTCGCCGACTTTCTCCTCGAGGACGTCATAGCGGAATCGATACTTTTTATCGAAGGTAGAAGATATTCTGCATGCTTGCGCTACAAAACACAAGTTCACCACTGCGTATCACTTGCAGACCAACGGCCTAACAGAGCGGTTCAACAGAACGCTTACGGACCTGCTCGCCATGTATGTTTTGCCTGATCATCGTGACAGGGATGAAGCTTTGGCTTTCGTAACGTTTGCGTACAATACGTCTCGGCATGACTTTACAGGTTTCTCTTCATTTTTTTCTCTTGTACGGACGAGAACCCACGCTGCCTTTCGAAACGCTCCTTCCGCCCGCTCTTGATACGACATCAGAATACGCTCGTGACACAATCGCTAGAGCTGAGGAGGCACGCCAGGTTGCCCGCTTTCGGCTTAACACTTTATAAGAAAAGCAACGACTAATCTATGACGTTTGCCACTGAGATGTCCACTTCAATTCTGGTGACACGGTCCTTCTTTGGACACCGTCAAGGCGAGTTGGTCTTTGCGAGAAGTTGACTTCTCCATACTCTGGTCCATACGAAGTCTTGCACCAAGTCACCAACGTCGCGTACGAAATCGAACCTCTGTAGACCACCACAGCGCGATCATTTGACATTGTTCACGTCACGCGACTAAAGCCGTTCCACTCCGACCAGTCGAGCACCGGGTCAATGCCTTCGCCGTCGGGGGTGATGCTACGAAGCGCTGTCGGAGATGAAGAGGAAGACCGCAAAGAGAAAGACAACGCTCGCTGATATCCGTAGGGACTTGGCTCTGCGTTGTATGTCTGGCAGTACGTGTTCAGACACACCTTGTAAATATACTCGACGACGCCTTTTCTGCCCGTAACAATATCTTCGAATCAAAAATAGTATACCACATTATTAGGAAAAATGAGCATTTTTGTCACGACTTGATTAACTTGCACAACAGCTTCAAAAACTGGAAGTATGCATGTGCGAATGTCACCTTTTTGATTCAAAGTTAAGGCGCATTTAAGCTTGTACAGCACAATTTTAAACTTAAAATGTAATTGAGGTGAAGGTAATTATCTACATTTAGTCTTTAAGTCTGGCCTTGCGGCAATGCAGATTTGCCTTGAATCACCGGTTTCATGCAATAGCATGCTCCCAGTGCAGATAGGCCATGTATATGCGTTTGAATACACATATATAAACTACACTCAAACTACGATATGACGAACACAGATATAACAAAATATATGTTACAACGAAGTAAATAGTAAATTTGAAATGAGTTTTCAGGTATAACTAACTTATTTTCGTGTAAGATGCAACTTTGTTATCGTCACGGGTTCATGATTCTCACGGAGGCAGAGACGGCTTGTCCAAAATGAAACTGTTTTCCTGTATTTACTCAAATCTAGGCCGACCCCGATTCTAAGCTGACTCCCAAAAGTGGGAAGCCCGGAAAAAAAAAAAAAAACTTACCTCGAATGTAGGCCAAACGAAATAGCCAAGACAGCGTTCACAAAGAGAAAACATTTATTAAACATGAAAACGGAACAAAGTAGTTGGTTCCTGATGCAAATGACTCGAGAAACATACAGCCTCTAGTCCTGTTGTGTGTGTTTATTTAACGTCGCTTTTTTCGCGCTGCTTCTTGCCCAATGCAGCGCAATCCGAGTCGTCCTCGCTGACTTCTTTGACGCTGTGCGTGCTATCGCATCGGACGGTTCTATAATTATGGTTCTTAGTCAACCAGCTCAGTTTGCGCAAGGCAGCACTTACATGTGTAATGGGGCAATAACAAAACTTGAAAAAGGAGTGTAGCATTATGATAAGGTTGAGTGTAGTTCATTCTTAATAATTCAAATTCAGTGTCAAAGCGAACTCAGATAGTGCTCAGATTCAGAGTAAAATTTATTGATCTAAACCGATTCGCTGTTTCTTTTCCATGTCCCTTTGATAATGAAGCACTTCGTAGCGCGCTTACCAGGCAAGTTCGAAACACTGGATCGAGGGCCAGCTTTGATTCGAGCTCATACAGGCTGTACAAGTCAGTGACGGGCAGCTTCACCTTGGCCAGTTCCATGCTGTCCCTCTGGTTGCTTTTGCCGAGGGCGGCCAGAATTTGCTGGTTCTGCTGCCGGATTGCTCGGAGCTCTTTCAGTATTACACTCAATGTACCTGTAAAGAATGCATCAAACACGCTAAGAATTGATAGACGACAAAAGGTAGTTTGTAAATTCGTTACGTGTGAATCAAACATTACCACATACACAATTACTAATAGCTAATCAACAACTTCATGTAATAAAACCGGTGTGGAGCTAAAATAGAAGTGTCTTCACTGATAGCATGTTCCCATAAATGACACTGAAATATGTATGACTCACACTGTGGTCTGTTTTTTTCCCTTCTTGACTGTATAGCATTTTTTCTTCATGCTCGATCCGAGCTGCGCTAAAGCAATATCATTTTATCATGCACCAACTCGTCCTGTCAGCAGTAGGGTACATTGGCAGTTTCAAGTTAAATGAGCAATAGATATAACTTTGCCTCACTTTGAAAATACTGAAGGAAACCGTCCCAGTAGTTCATGTCTCAATTGTCGTCTGCTTCAAATCTATTCAAATTAGATCAAGCTTTATTATTTCATAATAAGATGTACAAAAAAAGAATATACAGAAGAAGGTCCCGTAGTATACACTGAAATGGGACCTGCTATGAAATGTAATCATAAGTATTTGACTGGCAACAACAGTGCAAAAATAAGAGAATCAAGGTTAAAAAAATAAAATATAGATACAATTAAATGATGATGCTCTCATTAACTATATGCAACCGGAAATATAAACTATAAAATATATATGTATATATATTTATATATTAGCAGGACATGAAAATAAAAAAGAGACTGAAAAAAAAATGACATGGCAAGAGAGAAACCGGTTAGGCAGAAGAGTTATTTTGGTTCTTCCCATGTTCGTGCAAGGTGGCATGCTGCTTTGTGAAGCCCATGCCATTTTGAACTCAACAGACCTGAGGAGGTCACTCGCTTCGCATTTAACACACTTCCACAGTGCCTACTGATTTATATTGTCAGTTCAGAGTCCACTGGCACGCTGCCCAAAATGCACTTTCTCTTTTACGTGCCTCGCAAGCAAATGCCTTGGCAGATATTGCTTGGTGCTTTGCTAAGTGAAGCTTATTCAAGATGCACTACTGTTTGGGTTTTGCTACAATCTGTCGGTCAACCTGACGCCGCAAAACATTGGTGAGATCCAGGCACTAGCAGAGCTTGGCCAAGTTGAGAAAAACTGTAGTGTAGGAGCGCCAAAAGTGCTTGCGTACTGCGTAGTTGCTGCATGCGTGACAGGTTGCTGAGGTGGTGGTCTCGTAACTAATACTCGTGATCATTAGAGTATTGCACTTTTTGTTTTAATTGCACTGAGTGAGTTTTTTAGGAGATTTATGACCAAGACAATTAATCAAGAAGACAGGTCGGAAGCCTAGAGTCTCTCGAGCAAATAGGGAGACTTGGCAGATATGTGGACGTCTTGAGCTGCTTGTGCAATTAACCAATAAAAATATCAAGAACTTGTAGGCTTTACCTTTAAAAACAAGGCTCCATAGCACAATTGCGCGCCGTTGACATCGCCTTCTAAATCGCTAACCTGGCTTCACTTCCAGTTTACACCTCAGCTTTGCCGCATGGAAAAGAATGTCTGCACGAAACATTGGCCTTTTCAATCTATCCAGGAATGCATATAGCGAGTGCAGCTGCGAACTTCCCACTACGCCACGGTTCTATTTCTTAACGATTTGAAGTACCCACTACGTGCTTGCAAGGCGACGTGCACACCTTTGCATCTGCCCACTTTGTTGATGTGGTTGCCGATGATGATTAAACCCGATCGCTTTGTCACTGGTTGGCATTTAAACCACCTACTTGTTGTGCAACTCGTATGTTTTGATGCTTGGTGAAATTCCCCGTTTCTGTTACGCAACATTACATGTGTTAATGGCACTCCTCCTCACACTACTTAACACGCATACATTGTTCCTTTCTGAAATAATTCGACGCACGGGTGTGGCTCCATGGTAGAACGCGCCTAAACTATAGATTTTTAAATTATATATTTGTCTGTTTGCATCTATGTCAATTTTTTTATCCCAAACAGCGGAGATGTTTTGCTTGTCACCAATGGCTGCAGCGCTGACATCACAATTTCTGCAAAATGAGCTTTTTAGTGCTATTTCGTTAATAGTAGATACCACATGTAAGTCTCCTTGTCCTCTCCCTAATTTCATTATATGCTGGCTTTATATTGTTGTGTCAGACAAAAACGGTGACCTTAGTTCATTTCATGGGCATCAGCAGGAAAATGCGATTGCACCCCACCGCTTCCACCCTTCCACTATGTGACACAGCTCTTATTTTTTTCATGAGAGCATAAATTGTAATTACAGCCCACAGAATACCCACCAAATAACAAAAGCATTAACAAATGCAAACCTTTTCCTTCAATACTGGAACCGTTCACCATTTCGCCCCCTTCCTCAAGCTCTGCCTGTGTTGTGGCGCTGAAGTGCCTCGCTGACTTCTGAGAACACTGGTAGCCGTTCTCTACTGACATTGGACTCGCGTTGTCGCTCAAAGTGGCGCTGGTGTCGGTGACGTCATCTTCCGGCGTTGCGTGACTTTTGCCCTCACTGCACACAGCAATCCTCGACGAGCACACCGGCAAAAGATTGCGACGGTTGTGAAGATCCAGTGCGCAAGGACCGTCAGTGGTGTCGTTTCCGTCAACCACGAAACTCGTCAGTTGGGTGCATTCGTCGCTGCTACTCAGGCGGTGAATCCAAACCCTGTGTTGCGGGCTGCAGGCATTCTTTTTTGCTTCTAACAACGAGGCACTGCCAACACCATTCCCTGGGCTTGAAGATTCAATAACACACAGATAATCTAATAAACAAAAGTAGAGGTATTGTTCGAAACCACTCGTTTCTGCTTTAGACGCAACCTATAAATCCACCAGACAATTAAATAAGTCGAAGAAAGCACAGCGAACATTATTTGTTGCTTTTAACTCCTCTGTAATGATAATGACCTAAGTCACAACGATTTAAAGTAAACAAACTACAAGCTATATTATATTTACAATTCCAAATAAAGAACAGCATTCCACACATCTGCAGTTTCTCAGAGTATCTTGCCAAGCCAAAATGTTAACTTGTACACTGATCAGTGGGCTAGTTCTGACCATTGTTAATAACGCCAAGTGCTACAAGCTTGGATAGGTGCCTCAATAGAAAAGACGTTAGTAGAAACGCTAGTGCACGCTGAGATACCGAACTCTGTACATGCATACAAGTTATTGTGCCTGTGAAATGCTAAATATGCTTGCTTTAGTCACTTTGTAGTCGACGCATGATGCACCGCAGTTCGTGTTCGTCCTGTTAGTCTGATTGTGCTATCTTTAACTTGCAATGGTGGTGGTCAAACAATTTTTTGAATTTTTGTATGGTGCCCTCACTATCGTAATTAATTACAGTAGCCTCTCAATAATTACATCTCTGATAATTCATACTTTTGGTTAATTCAAACAAAATTAAATTTTTGGTAAGCCCTCTATTCTTTCAATGTATTTATAAGCTGTAAAAATCAAACTCTGTCAATTGGTTAATTCATAGTTTTAAGGGTTCTATACCAGCCAATATTTGTGGCTTTCCTACTACTAGTATTTAAATATTTGGGTCCCCACATAATCCTAACAGTCTAAAAATGAAAAATAAATGCCTCAGGCTTTCAAGGAAAAAGGCTTTGCTAGTAAACAAATGTTACAAATGAAGCACACACATGGTAAACCATGGTGCTTTTCAACTGGTATAGAGAGCTTTGTGCTGAAGGCACATATAGCAAAGAAGCAGTAGGCAATTCAGAATTTCTTTAAAAGGTCTGATCAGTAATAAATGGCCAATAAACTTGTAGACCTTAAACCTTTGCTTTTGTTATTTGGGTGCTGTTAGGGCTTAAAACACCTAAAAAATATAAATGTGACAAAATCAATGTGTCACCTTGCCCAGAGTCGTATATCTAAGAACTTCTGATAATTCAAACAAACTTTAAAGGTCCCTTCGAGTTCGAATTGATGAGAGTCGACTGTAAATGATTACCTTGACTGTTCATGTGGCCAGTCTTTAAACCTGCTTTCGTCGTCCCTGGCAGCTGGAGAAGACACCCTCGGGAACTTGATATGACAAACAACTGCAAGCAAAGCAAGCTTTGAATGTCACCAGTGAGTTTATGTTATCAGTAACAGGGTTCGTAGCACCTAAGTGAAACAAAATTCAAGGACTTTCAAGGACCTCACAAGTACTTTTCAAGGACCTAAAATAACACTCGAAACCACAGGAATTGACAACGCCACTTCTTACAGCATAAAGATTTCTACTTTCTTTTGTATGATTGGCACCATGAATGCACTCAAGTTACCATGGATTGTAGTCGCTTTTGTGTTCTCAATGCATTTCGTACTCTTCCATGTGACTTTTAAGGGCAGACGCCTCTATTGATGACACGTCCAAGCTCTTCCCATATGGGAAGACTTTGAATAGTGCGGGTTTGACATATCTGGTGCCATCCACTCCCTATAAGCAACAAAGCATAACCACGACGGCTGTAATTTGCACTTGTCCAACATAGTTCCACCATAAGCGACGCGACTGCAAATGTCTGTTCACACTTGCACAGCCTGCACAAAAAAGTCCGGCTTAGCTCAGTCGTTGCTGCTGTAACCACGCAAGGGCTACCACAATCACAGTGTACTGGAAGAGTACACTGTATCACAACACTGCAATATGGCTAGAGAAGTGAATTGGAATGAATGGTTTATTGGCTTGAGAGCACATAATTGCCAGGTTCACAAAAGATACACTAAATTATGGCTGAAAGAACTTTGATTTATGAAACTCAAGGACTTTTGAAGGACTTCAAATATATTTAGGGTTTTCAGGGCCTTAAAAATGCCATTTTAAAACTCAAGCATTTTCAAGAGTTTCAAGGACCACTACGAACCCTGAGTAATACCTGGCACTAGATGGCACAAAAAAGCAATACTTTGCATAATACCCTCACAAAATAGTTATACAGAGAATCGCTTTAATAAAACTTTTGTCATGGCACAAACACTTAAAGGGGCCCTGCAACACTTTTTGAGCATAGTCAGAAAACACTGCCGATCGGTATTAGAGGATCCCGAAAGCATGAGAGTCAAATATTATAGCGTAGCACGCGACCTGGAATTCACAATAAATTCTCAAAGTCAGCTAAAAATAGCTTTCTCTTCTCTCGACAAATCACAGAATAAGACCAAAAATCGCTCGTAGTAAGCCCATGTATCAGCCATTGGCTTATTTGAACATGGCGCGCTCAGTTGTTACAGAAGTCGCGGAAAGAGGCCGTCCCTTGTCCATGCTTGCGCGTGACACGGGAAAAGCCACGTACTCGAAGAAAAAAAAAAGTGCTCAAGGTTAAGTGACATTTTTTGTTTGCCCTTCCCATCCCTTCCTGCTTAGCTTCCAATGCTTTCGTCTGGACGAGAGAAGAGAGAATCGGATTGCAGGGTGTGACAAATGTTTGTAACTCCGCTCGTACTGGACGGATTCTTAACATTTTTGCGGCGTTGAATTTGTGAGATAATACTGCCATGTTCCATTTCCCAAATTTTTGTTATCGTTCCAAAACACCACACGATTCTCGGCGCAAACCGCGCCTGCAGGTTTCGAGAAGGTTCCGGACTGTAGTAGATCGTTTCGATAAGATCACGCCCACTGTGCGAACGGTACAGATTGTTCTGGAACCTACGCCACCGCCAGCGATAACGCTAGAACATTCGACGGCAAGGGTATAAATGCCGACGCGCTTCGCCGCTTGTCAATTGTTGATCGAAGGCCGACGCTGCGCTCGCCGCTATCAGTCCGAGACTGCTATCTGCGCAAGACTGCTGCTGTAATTAGACTTTCCCTTTACCGGGCACAGGTTCGCCCAAATAAACAGTTAAATCCCAACACAAAGTTTCCTGTCTTCGGCCGCGTCACGACCCCGTGAAATCTGCTGGAGGTGCTGCTTCGTTCATGTACCGGACGCCCCCGTCAAGCCGTGAACCCAGCCCCCGTTGGGAAGAGGATACCGACGCCAACCAAGAGCAGCGAACGAGCCGCCGACAGCAAGGTCTCCCACCGGAGTACGGCCTTCTACCAGACAAGGTGCGGAAGACCAAGACCATGACCTCGACGGCAGCGACAATGACAACCGGAGCGTCCCAGCCCGCGATCGTCATTCATCAACCCAGGGAACCGCCAACGTTCCATGGCTCACCGTTTGAAGACCCGGAAACCTGGCTAGAAACATACGACCGTGTGGCCGCGCTCAACCACTGGGACAACGAAGAAAAGCTCCGTCGTGTGTACTTCTACCTGGAAGACACCGCAAGGACCTGGCTAGAGAATCGGGAGTCCACGCTCCGAACGTGGGATGTCTTCTGCGGCGCATTTCTGCAAACGTTCGCGAGCGTCGCTCGCAAAGAGAGGGCCGCTGCTCTACTCGAGACCTGGGTTCAGCTACCAAATGAAAAGGTTGGAATTTTCACAAAGGAGATGACCCGCCTATTCCGTCACGCTGACCCAGACATGCCTGAGGAAAAGAAAGTTCGTTTCCTCATGCGAGGGGTCAAACAGGAGCTCTTCGCGGGACTAATGAGAAATCCACTGAACACCGTCCAAGAATTTGTATCCGAGGCGACCACCATCGAAAAATCGCTCGACATGCGCACCAGACAGTATAATCGTCGCCTGACTCCAGAATGCGCTGCTGCTCAAGCCAGTGACTCCGACGACCTGCGTGAAACGATCCGAGCGATCGTGCGGGAAGAGCTGCGCAAACTGTTGCCTTCGGCGCAGCCTCAAGTGGATTCGATCGCCGACATTGTGCGAGAAGAAGTCCGGCAATCGCTTCGAATTCCCGAAACACCGCCGCCCGAGCCAGCAACTATGAGCTACGCCGCTGCAGTGCGCCACAACGCTCCTCCCCGTCCACGCCAAAACGCCGCCCCGTCGCACTTCCGTCGCCAGACGCCACCGCCGCCACCACCACCACCGACGTCCTACCGTTCCCCAGCGGGCCAGTGCAGTGCACCGAGGAAAACGGACGTTTGGCGTGCACCTGACAACCGCCCGCTCTGCTACCACTGCGGCGAGGCCGGGCACACATACCGCCGTTCCCAGTACCGACAGATGGGACTGCGTGGCTTCGCCGTCAATGCACCGCGTCCGCAGCCAGGAGATCGGCCACGTGACATCGCCGACTACCTGGCAGGAACTCAATGGACACCACGAAGTCCTTCCCGTTTGCCGTCGCCCAGCCGCCGCATGTCACCACACCTCCGGCAGTACTCTGGCCCAACGCGGGGCCGGTCTCCTAGCCCGTATCCGGGAAACTAAGGGCAGCAACCGATGGAGGTGCGGTTGCTGTGCGACGAACTACCGAAGATCCTCCGACGACGACGCCGCCGCGACGGAGCTTTCGGAACACAACGCCAAACAGGCAAACCCCTGACGGCGAAAGCTCACTTACCGAAGGTGGCCTGACGACGCAACAGGGAAGCAGCGGAACAAGCCGACGCAGCCGTGACCCGACGCCACGCCCTAACTGTAATGCGAGACGGCGAACTAGCGACCTCGACGTTCTTATCGACGGCCACAGTGTGACCGCTCTCGTCGATACGGGAGCCGACTATTCTGTCATCAGTGGGTCGTTCGCCGCGAAGTTAAAGAAGGTTAGGACAGCTTGGAAAGGCCCTGAAATCTGCACAGCCGGAGGTCATCTCGTAACGCCTGCAGGAATCTGCACAGCGAGAGTCACCATTAACGGCCGTATTTATCCTACAGACTTCGTAGTCCTACAGCGTTGCTCGAGAGATGTCATCCTTGGCATGGACTTCTTATGCCTCCATGGTGCTGTCATCAACCTAAAAACAAAGTCGATAACTTTATCCACAGAAGAAGCACTACCGCCGCGCACGCCGTCAGGAAACCATGCCTTGAATGTGCTGGAGGAACAAGTCACCATTCCGCCTCGCTCAAGCGTCATTATTTCAGTCGGCGCTCCTAAATCACCTGACTTGGAAGGCGTCGTTGAAGGCAGTCAGCATCTGTTGGTCACCCGAAATATTTGCGTCGCAAAAGGAATTGCAGAGCTGCGGGGAGGCAAAGCAACGGTTATGCTCACGAATTTCAGCAATGAGTACAAACATGTGAACAAAGGAACAACGGTCACATACATCGAAGAAATTGTCGAAGCCACCAGTGCTTTCGCCCTCGCCGATTCTGCGGAACCTGCTCAGAGGAACCAAGCCCCTCCCATAGCTTTCGACGTCAATCCCAGACTTCCGAACGATAAGCAAGAACAGCTCAAGGCCCTGCTCCTGCAATACGAAGATTGCTTTTCGTCGTCATCGAAAATTCGGCAGACCCCAATCACGAAACATCGTATCATAACCGAAGAAAATGCCAGACCACTCCGTCAGAGTCCGTACAGGGTTTCGACGCGAGAACGTGAGGCCATGAAGAGACAAGTTGATGAAATGCTGCGAGATGACATTATCCAGCCGTCCAAGAGTCCGTGGGCATCCCCCGTGGTGTTAGTGAAGAAAAAGGATGGGACCCTACGTTTCTGCGTCGATTATCGCCGCCTGAACAAAATCACAAAAAAGGACGTGTATCCTCTCCCACGAATAGACGACGCACTTGATCGGCTCCATAACGCCAAGTACTTCTCGTCAATGGACCTCAAGACTGGCTATTGGCAAATCGAAGTCGACGAAAGAGACCGAGAGAAGACGGCGTTTATAACACCGGACGGCCTCTTCGAGTTTAAGGTGATGCCCTTCGGCCTTTGCTCAGCGCCTGCAACTTTTCAACGCGTTATGGATACAGTACTGGCAGGATTGAAGTGGCAGACTTGCCTTGTGTACTTGGACGACGTCGTCGTGTTTTCCTCGAGTTTCGACGAGCATCTTCGGCGCCTTGAAGCTGTACTTCAAGCCATCAAGACGTCCGAACTCACACTGAAGCCAGAAAAGTGCAGATTTGCGTATGAGGAGCTCTTGTTTCTGGGGCACGTTATCAGCAAGTCTGGAGTTCGTCCTGATCCACGGAAAACATGCCGCCATCGCCGACTTCCCGCCGCCCACTGACAAGAAGGCCGTG